GATTTCTCTCAAATCTCACGATTGCGACCCAACGAACTTGGATCCCGGTCTTTGCAGTCATCCTTTGGCAAGTCAATTTCTTGACTATTGCTGGCAAGGATTGTGAAGGATCTAAGTGAGTTATATCATTTCTTAATCTTCATTGTTATCCTCGTATACCGTTTTTACACCTTTTCCACTAGGATAGCCTGGTAAATTACTCACTAGTGGTTAGCCTACACTAGAAAGTTTTCCGTTGCGTTTTTGCTAAGACGTTTTGTATATTTGTAGTGATAAACCCTCTACACCAGCAATTTTTTGAGAGCAAATTATCAGCTCTTCTCACATCCTAGAAGGAACTGCGGGTGGATAATAATTTCTGAGCGCACCATCATTCGCGCACACAAAGCTACGGACAGACAAGCTCCGAATCCAAACATTTTTATTTCCCAGAAAGAGGGAACGCTACTTTACTACCGACGTGAGGCAGTCTTGCTCCGCCAATCAAAAGTCGAAAAATCGAGCATCGTACCTGGTAATGGTGAGGGTCCAGCCGGCCATCCTGCTGAAAGTAGAGAGGAATGCCCGCTGCTTCAGCGACACACCTGTCACGCGGACAAAGCGACTGGACACCGCCGAGGACCATTGGCGGTCGCTCGTTCGAAGACGTGATGGGCTGCTTGACACCTGCCGAGTGGTACGTATTCCCATTCGACAGGATCTCATGGGCAGGCACTAAAAGAGGACACGACAGCGTAAAAAGGGAGACACAGAGAGATATAGACTCCTCAAATAAATTTGGCCAAAATTGTCTCCCCAGTAAGGCGTGATTTCACTTGTTTGAAAATTTCGGCAGTCCCTATGACAGGAAAAAATCATACCTCTAACCAAATAAATATTAAAAAGTGCATTTGGCAAACATACGTTTTAGGCAATTCATCATCAGGATAATGAAAATAGCACAGCTGGACAAGATTAATAAGTGTTTTGTGTTTACAATTCATCGCTTTCACGCATGGCGAGATCGGCATGTACAAGTCAGTGCGCTGGTGAAAGGGGTGGGGCAATTAGAATAGGCTGTAAGTATTGTTTATGGGTCGGGAACGTGGCATAAAAATTACAGAACTAAATTCCGTTCTATTTTAGTTGACCCATTTATATTTAAGGGACAAACTGTGAAATTTGATGGATTGTCCCGTCCAGGTTCCCTTTCAGAATAGCCTGCGCTGGATAGACCCACCCTTTTGCCTCCCTAGAAGGACATCAAGGAACGCAGAAAATGAGTAAAGTATGAGGAAGATAACGAAATTTAATATTATTAAACAGTTATAAGGTGACACCTGGTCTGCATGCAGAAGTCATTAACATTGTTGCCTGTGTTTGAACTTCGAATGGGTATTGTTTCGTCAGAAGCTTATACCTAAGGTATGTATTTTTCCTCCTCCTCCTTTCCTTAAATCCGGTTTCTAAACTTGTTGACGATTTTCGGCAAACTAGTTACCTTTGCTGGTAAGACTTTGTATTGAAACAAGAACGGTTACGGGTGTTAGAATGTCCCGGGTGATATAGCCTGCATATAGACAAGGGGTTGACGTGCACAACTTACTGATTGGTCGGAAGGTTGCGTTTGGAGGAGGGAGGCGATTGTTTTGTTGGTTCTGCGATGTTGGCGACATTCCCATTTGATAATACTCCGTATAGAACTTCTGCAAAACAAAATGATAGACTAAGCCTCGAGCACAGAGACGCACAAACGTGAAACATATTAATTAGGACATTTGCTAGTCTTAAATTAAATGCTCCTCCTGACTAGGAAAGTCGCTCGTGTCCCATAGACTAGTATAATGAGGAAGTGCTTGCCGCTTTCAGCGTGTACTATTTTGAAAGAGCATACTACTGGGAGAGTAGTGAGTAGCTACCTTCTTTCCATGGAAGACTAACGGAGCATCCACATTAATGGTAAGCAGACACCAACTAGAGGAAAAAGGCGCATGAATTGGCCATTTTTCAAACGGAAAACAGGAGTTAAAGTCTACGTGTTGTAGCTTACTTTAAATAACCACCTAAACATGTTTTAGGATATGATAACCCCTTCCACGAAAAAAAAAACATTTCGAGGGCTCGCTCCCTGAACAGAGAAGCTCCCCCAAAAGTTCTTTTTCAAGTCCCCATATACAGTAGATCGTCTTACTCATGAAATGTGAAGATGAACTTCATTCCCAGCCCAGATAGCAAACAAGTATTATGTACTAGATCTGGCCCATGTTTCACGCTTCTCAGGAAAACGCAAGATTACTCCGCAGGACAAGATCTCACAATTATTAATACGACTTTAGGCGATGACGCCATACGTGACGTTGTCAAAGCTCCTAATGAGTTACGGACAAACTCTGTTCATTATCTACCGGACAGAAGATATAAAAAAACGTCATGCAAGCAACGCTCACCGGTTTCTCCAGATAGTCATTGCAGTCCAAAATCTTCGGGACGTTAAATGACACCTCTGACTGAAAACGACTTCCAAATACGCCGCTATGCGGATAAGCGAGTGTCGAACACTTCAGCAGCTGTTGTGACTGCTGCTGTTGACGGTCCGGAAAGTCGAACAACGTCCTCGACTGAGCATCGGGCGAGAAGGCCATTGGACGCGACGGTAGAGTGCGTCTGTTGTCCCCAACCAACGGACCTGAACCACAACCAGTAGCCACATCGCAAACCTCCCCCCTCTTGGGATCCTTGGACTTTCGACAGATATGGGTTGGACTGTTGTAGGGGTGGCTGGTCTGGCGTTTGAAGAGGATGCACACGTCCGGCAGAAACTTGCAAAACT